GTCAAGTTAATTGTGCATAAAGTGCGAGAGTAAGAGGTGACAGAGAGAGGTTTACAGAGACAGGGAGAGAGAGAGTGAGTAAGAGTCGTGTTGGAATTTATTTACCTTCTGGTCTAAAACACACGCAAAGATTGCAAACTGCCTGCTGTTATGACAGCTGCTTTGACTGACAGGCGGCGGTTGGCGACTGTCGGCAGCGGAAATTAAACGCCTCGATTTGCGTGCGCGCCACGTATAAATCAGTGTGTACCTGCGCACCTACGAGCCACCTAAGCCAATTGATTAGGCCCTTCAAGTCTCAGAGCTGGCTGATTACGAGAGCCTTCAACAAGGCGTAAAATGCTCGACTCGATTATTAAGCTAAATACATATAAAAGCGACTCGTCCAGTAACTGCAACAGAGCGTCAGTCAGTCAGTCCGCTAGTCAGTCACTCAGTAAGTCGTGTCAAATTGCTTAACAAGCAATTATGAGGACCGTCAACAGCGAGCAGTTCAAAGCAAAGCCGAAGTCTAGCCAGGGGCAGGCCATGCAAAAAGGGCTCAGACCAATTGGCCGGGCTTAGTTAAGCGACAAATCTACAAGCCAACAGCAGCAGCACTTGATCATAATGATGATGATGCTCATGGCACTCGGCTGGAAATGAGTTGCAAACAAATGACTTAAGTGAGCAACTTACATGCCGCATTAGCCAGGCCCATGACAGCGGCCCAGTCACTAACAATTTGGTTAACAAGCTTGGTTCAGCTGTTCAGCTGTGTTATTGCATCATATATATTTGAGCTTGACCATTTTTATTCCTTTTTCCTATATGAATATTTGCACAATTTATGCAAGCTCTTAATATTAACTTTGTGATTTTAAATCGACATGTCAAGATTTCAGATCGTAATTTAATTTTAAATTTTGAAGTGTTTTGTGTACTGTTGTCTAAAAATATATCTTCCACAGACAAAATTCTACAAAATGGGACTGTTAAGTTACAACAGACTTTCTCTTGAGATTGAGAAGAAAAGATTCAATTGTATTTGAACCCTGAACGAGTTTTATGCAGTCAACAGCTGTCGACTGTAGACCTTCTCAGAAGTTTATTTGGATTTACAAGAATGCAGCTATATATTCAAATTATTAAATTATTTTAGTGTTGTATTTTGATGTTATATTGCTAAATATGCCATATATATACTATATAATATGGTTAATAGTTGTATAGATAAAGGCCTCTAAGGCATATTTTGATGACAGTCTCTTGCAAGATCCGACTACCCGTCTGTATTGTATCACGAAGGACGATGCTAAAGTGTAATAAAAACAAATTGTTATAAATGAATAATTTTAATTAAATTTATTTAATTTTTAAACTACAATTTCGATATATTAAATTAACTTCCACCATATTCCAACTTGAATACTGTAGAGTTTTATTTCGTTATCTATTACGAATTGCAGCGCATTTCGTGGCCAAGTCTTCGGCTCTGATTTATGCGACCGCCATTAGGATTCGCTCGTTTGTGGTCTGCAGCAGGGCGAATTGAAAGGGCCAGCGATGCCTAAAACATATTGCAGCATTTTATTATGTTTTAAAATTAACAATTTTAGAGAGAGAGCGAGAGCCAGCTAGAGCCAGAGCCTCTTGCATTCCAATTTAATGCAATTTTGCGCCTCTGGCCAAGCAAATTACTCAAAAATTGCGCATAAATTAATGGCAGGGAATGAGGATATTAAACTAGACGACTGACTGGCAAAAATTAAAACATTAATCTAAAGGCTGAGCCGGCGCGCATGCATAACAATTAATGCTGGCCTTTAAATTTATTAATTTATTTATAAAACCAAAAAAGGGCAGCCTGCAAGAAAAAGAGGTGCGAATGCGAACTTAAAGACCTGCTGCACAGCAAAGCACCAACAGAAGTCTGCAAGAGCTTAACGAGAAATAGTTCTCAGTCTTCTTTTACTTTAAAGAAATGTCCGTACGCCCTCCAGGGACAGATTAGCGATTAATCTATGGGGCATGGTCACATGCACGTCCTACACTTGCCTGCCAGGCAGTCAGGCGGCCAGGCAGTCAGGCAGCCAGCCAGAGGCAGCTAACATAGAAAGAAGCGTCCGTGGAACGTGGAGCGTGGAACGAGGTAACGATTAAAAAATCTCCACAGTAAAGACTGAGCACTTAATCAAAGAGGATTTAGAGAGGCCAAAGCCGAGTGCCCAGAGCCCAGAGCTGAAGCTAAGGCAGCCCCAGCGTTGATGCGGCGCTTTGTTTTTAGCTCATTTCGTTCTTCCATTTTAACTGATGCACCGCAAATACCCTCTCAAAGCAAGTGGTTATACGAGATGAAGTACGCGCTGATATCTAATCTCAGACGAAGCTCTTTTTTTCTCTATTTACTGACCATCGTTGACGGAGCTACTTCTAAGAATCTAAATATGCAAGAGATACTTTGACAGCTTATGCTGTATAGACCTGCAGAGGCTTGATATATATATGTTGGAATTCTTAGGATTTAGTTTTGCGCAGTATTTACAGTACAGTATTTACAAGCTATTCAGCTGGCAAGAGTTATTCAACTTTTCTGCATTCCAACGAAAGTGAGGAAAAATAAATAAAAAAGAAAAAAAGAAATTCCAATGAAACTTGAATAATTAGATAATAGAAAAAAGAAATTAATACCCTTTAAGTAATACAAAAAAAAAAAAAAATAAATAAATTAAGAAATAGCTAACTTAAGCTCTAATACATATTTAAAACTAAGTAAAATTCGATATTTAATTCAACAGAAAATGTAGAAAATTCTTAAATATAAAATTCTGAAACCAGGCGAGAAGCTTTCTTAGATATTTAAAATTATGTGGAATAAAGCCAAAATTTTTTTGATTTATTTTAATTTGCGTATCATATACATTATGGAATAGAGTATCTCCTAGTCGTTGCGATCAGCTTTTAATAATTTTTACTTGGGCTCTTTACTACACATTACAAGCAGTAATATTTTGCAGAGCCTTGTTCATAGTTTGTGGTGCGCTTTTTCATTTGCGCAGCTCCCCAATGCCAATTCAGCGCCCCCTCACACCTGGCCACCGCTGAGCTGGTGTTTGAGCTACCAGCTCGGGCGCGCAGTTGGCAACTCGTAAAAGACCTTAAATAGTGGCAGAGACATTTCAGACATTGCCGCGCGTTGGCTGCTGCATTTGTCAATTTGCTATGAGTTGAAAGGGGCGTGGCCGTGGCATAAAAATGATATATGCGAGCGCTGAGTTAGCAATTTTCGTATGAATTGCCAAATGGTAAAGCGACGCCGACATTCGCTTTATGAATTCGCTTTATGGGCAAAAACAAAGAAGATGAAAAAAAACTATAAAATATTTTGATTGTATTTCATGTGAGCTTAAATTAAATGCATGTTGCACTCTCTACATACATATATATATCTGTCTGATTCGGCATCGAGTGGATTTAGAAGAGCCACCAGCCCATCCTGCCTGACCGGCTCTGGCTGCGCTCGTGTTGCAATTATGGCCCAGTAACCGCAACACTAGCTGGCCAGCTTTGGCCTTGGCCCAAACACTCGCATTTCGTCATAAGCCCAGGCCAATTTTTGGGCATTTGGGCCTGTAATCCTTTTGTGTGCTAATTGGAGCGTTTCTACGGGCCATAAATACCCCGGCAAATGAAAACGAGTGGCCAAAAAATACATATATATGAAAATTTGCCAAAATATTTGCCATAAACAGGCAGCTCAAAAGCCGCTTAAACCTGCCACTTGGCCAAGAGCGCACAACAAATGTAAACCTTCTGTATGCCTTTTAATTGCTTTAGCTTTGCGGTCACACTTGGCACGGCCTCAGACAAGGGAGGGAGAAGGTGCTAGGCTCGATAGGCCCTTCAGCTTGTGGCTTTTTGCCTGAGCACAAAATCTCTATTAATTACACGTTGTTTTGACTGCGAGTCAAGGATTATTTATTATGAGTGCTGGCAATAGAAAAGCTTTTCAAAAAGATTAAAGTATTTTTATATATTCAAATCAAAACTTCGAGCAACAAATATTTAAACTTGTGCCTAGACCTTGAATGAATTTACTTTTATTTTTTCAGACTTATTTTGCTGCGAAATTCCGTTTGGCTTGCAGCATATATCCAACATAAATTCAATATTTATGGCAACTATTCAATAGCCTGTGCAGTGGACAATGTTGGACAAACTATCGAATAGAGTCCATTGCGGATCACATATACAAAGGGGTATATCTTAAGTCATTAAAGTATACAAATGCTGAGTTTGGTTGAGTATTCAGGGAAATTGTATATTTATTGATTAAGTATATATAATATATGCAGACGCTGAGGCAGTTCGAAGAACAAGTCGATGCTCTGATGCCGCTCTTGCATATTGTTTTTTTTTTATTTTTCATTCATATTTTCCGTAATTTTCTTCATTATTATGACCGCAGCGAGTGCTGTGTGATTTTTACTATAAGAACAACACATTTAGCTCATTATATAGAATATCAATTGATCACAAATTGAATGGAAAGCTCTCAATTATATAATTTATTATATAACAAAATTGATCTCATTAGAATCGCATCTTTCGTTGACGAGGTATGTCTTTTCAAACTTTTAAAGCACTCAAACTTATTAAACTGAGCGGAACTGTAAATCTCTTGATTTGCTATCGCAAACAATAAGTCAAAGGCTTTAAATAGATCTCTTTAGAAACGTCATGAATCGTGATTTTGACATCGGCATCTCTGTTACTTGTTGATCATCACAATATTGTTCAATTTCATTATCGCTCATCGCAGTCCAGCAGCAGCTCTATATAGATGTTGACAAGAGAGCCCAGTACAAAGTCTTAGGCCTCGAGAGTTATGACATTTCACTCAAACGACGTGAGATGCTCTAGCTCATGCTCTGTAGCGCGATAACACGCTTGAAAAAGTAAAGAGCTGAAGCAGGTTCATTGCCTGGCGAACCAAACGCAGTCTGGAAGCAGCTGCTGAAAGCAATTGATGGACAAACAAACGAGCAGCAAGTTTATAATAAAATCAAATTTCAAAACAATAAATACATAGCAGCTGAAAGTGATGCGAATTATTTGAAGGTGGGCGTGAAGCATCGATTATTCAGGTGTGTTCAAAGTTCAATGTGATGAAAGTTTCAAATATATAGAAAGACAAGCTGTGATGAATCTTATTGACACGCTGGGTCTTATAAAGATACTATTTGCACATGGTAGACTGAGCTGCAAGCGCAGTAATAATTAAGTTCACATAATCTAAGCTTTGCCAAATGTGACAGTGAGATTAAGTGAAGCCAAATAGATAAATGTGATTGGCGTGCTTGACATTTGTAATATTGGATTACCTTTACCTTTTGATGCAATTCAAGTGATGTCAAAATAAGAGCCAGCTAAAAGACAGCTGCGAGTTTGTATATAGTGACCTTTTGACAGAAATTTCTGTAAATGCAATCATTTACGAATATTGAATTAAAGCCTTTATTTTACTTAGTATAATTATAATATAATTGTTTCATATACTGTGAAGGTGGCTGACCAAGTTCATTTGCCGAGAGGAAAGATGGCATAAATGCTGCGCGCTTGCAGAAAATTTGTGGACACACAGACAAAAGCAAAGGACATAAATTATAAGGAGCGAACACAGCAGAATATTAAATATATACGATTGCCTTTGTGTGTGAGTGCAGTCAGAGTAAATGAGCGCGACACCTCAAAAGAGAAGATAAGCTAAAGAGAGCTTATTAGAAGAGTGTTTCTCAGCAATGCATAAAGGTTCATATGTTGCTAATCAGAGGAACAGGCTGAGGTACTTGATTCATGTCCGTTTTTCTGTCAGTCCGTCCATATGAAAAAGTCAAGTAAACTACAGAAACTAGGCTAAGCAACTTTTAAGTACACATTCTCGCATGCTTTATCAATTATTGAAGTTGCAGCTACAGGTAGGTGGGTCATCAGGCACGCCTGGCTAGAGAGCAAGGAAAGGTAATTGAAATTCAACTAAAAGATGTTTGATAGATTCATGATATAATAGCCAACAGATCGAATGGAATTTCAATTACACAATACTCATGTATGTGAGCTGCTCAGTTATTTGCTTATGCTAATCCCACGTCATGTTGACAGCTCTTAAGTGAGCCAATCGAAAGGCAAGAATCTGAAGTAGTTTTGCTGTGCCCGCTTTGGGCATCTTAGTGGGTGCCAATGTGACACATTTATGCGACAATTGGCGGATTTATCATGTGTATATATACGTTTGTGTGTGTGTGTGTGTGTTACATTGATTGGCTATCCAATTTGCATATAATTTATTTTCAATTGTTGTGACATTTTGCGCCACTGTGGCTGCTGCTGTTGCTGCTGCTATTGTTGGGGTCTGGACAGGTTGGCATAGTCGTGGGAATGTGCCGCACGGTTTCGCGTCTCAAGTTGCGAGTTGCAAGTTGCAAGTTGCAAGTCGCAGGCTGCGAGTGTTGATTGTTGCTTGTCGCTAGCGACAAATCTCGGGCCTGACTCACTCTCAGTTGTGGCGAACTTTCACTCGATTGTGGCCTGGGCATAGTCGATAATTAAGCCATCTTGTGGCACGTTTATCTAGTCGCAGACAATGACTGCATCTAGCGGATATCTGTGGCAAATAGCTGCGGCCCGGGCGCACCTTCAATTAATGCTGCAACCAGCGTCGGGTTATCTGCCTCTCTGCCGCTCACACTCTCTCTCTCCCGCTGTCACTGATTGGAGTAGAGGTAAAAGTGTGGCATTGTTGCCTTTTGGCCTTATTTCAGCTGCACTACTAAATGCCAATTTAGCCTGAATGCTGGGCCACGGCACTCAGGTGCTAATGCCTGTCGCAAAGTTTGGCCAAGTTTGTCACGCCAAACGACTGCCAGCCATGAACCGGTTCGAAATTGGCGCATGAAATCGATCCGACGATCTCTTTGGGCCCAGGCCCCATGCTCAGCCAAATGCCAGGCGAACGAGTGCTTTTCGAGCGGTCAACTATACACTTGAAAAGTAATCAAATATGTTACTAATACTCCGTACACGGTCCCCACACACAATGAATAACATTTTCTAGGTTTTACACAATTCCTATATTTTCAGATTTTTTTAATTTTTCGACTTTTAAATTGTTGTTTTCAATAGAAGACAAGTGAAATATCTAATAATAATGGCGGATACCAAGCCATCATCAGACCAAAAGAAGAAGAAGGAGCCAGTGCCTGTGGAGAAGACAGGAGACCCCATCGTCTCGGCGATCGGTGACTTTAAGATATATCAGTTCTGGTACTGCATGCTGATATTCCTTTGCAAGTTCGGCACCGGCTGGCACACCCTGGCCCACATCTTTCTGGCCGCGCCGACGCCCCTCAGCTGCACCACCGCGAACGTTACAGATCCATGCAGCGATCAGTGCACTTCAACCGAATTCGATACGAGCGTCTTCCAGACCACAATTGTCACCGAGTGGGATCTTACCTGTAAGAAGAGCAGTTTGTCCAGTCTCTCACAGTCGATTGTTATGGTTGGCATCATGTTTGGCAGTATGGTATTCGGCATGATATCGGATCGGTAAGATAGATGTGTGCATATATATTACATTGCTGATTAATTATTGATTGCTGATCCAATTATTATGTGATCTAATTTAGCTGCGGCCGAAGACCTGCGTTTCTGGGCTGCTGTTTCATGCAGTTAATCACAGGCCTCGTTGTCTGCTTCTCTCCCAGCTTCTGGTTCTATTGCCTTTCTCGCTTCCTGGTGGCCTTTGCCACTGGCGGCACAATGACAACAAGGTAAGCAAGGTCGATTTGTAAATTATTTGGTTTGCAATCTTGTTTGCTTGTCTTGCTTAGTTTCGTGCTCATCATGGAAATAATTGGACCGAAGAAGCGCGAGCTGGTTGCCATTTTGTACCAAATACCGTTTAACATTGGCCACGCCTCGCTTGCCGTGTTCGCCTACTTTATCCGCACTTGGCGCTGGTTCCAGTTCAGTGTAACCATCTTTTCCGTCGTGTTCGTGGTGTATATATGCCTCGTGCCCGAATCGCCGCGCTGGCTGTTCACCACGGGGCGTTTGGACGAATCCATCAAGATATTGGAGATGATCGCAAGACGGAACAATGTGCCAACAGAGACGATCAGGGGCGAAATCGAAGCCGCCTATAAGGTAGTGTCAGCCGCGGCGCCAGTGAAGAAGGGCACGATAATCGATCTATTTCGCTATCCCTATTTGCGGTTGAAAACACTTTGCATGGCCAACATTTGGTTGGTGGTATGCATGGTCTACTATGGCACCGCCCAGTACATATCCAAGCTGGGCGGCAACATCTTTTTAAACAATCTAATTGCAGCGTCCCTGGGTATTCCCGGCACCCTCCTCTGCGTGGTGATGACCAAGTATTTGGGACGCAGGATCACAATGATGATAACCAACGGGATAAGTGCGGTAGGGCTGTTGTCGTTGGTGTTTCTAACTCATGCCGATATGCGAATTCAAGTGGTGTGCGCGACATTGGGGCTGTTTGGCGCGTCCATCACATTCCCCAATGCGTATCTGTGGGGCGGCGAGGTGTTTCCAACTGTGGTCCGGGCAAATGGGCTGGGACTTTGCTCAATGGTCGGTCGCGGGGGCAGCCTCGTGGCTCCACTGATCTGTGACCTGGCTCATGTCCGCGCTTGGATAACACCGTTAATATTTGGGGTCTTTTCAGTTTCGGGTTTGTTGGTCAGCTTTTGCCTGCCAGAGACGCGAGGAACTCAATTGCCAGCAACATTCGAAGATAGTGAAAAAAGACCAAAGAAGGCATAAGACGAAGTCAAAATGGATTGCAAAAAAGTTATGCAGAAGTTGAGCTATGCACAGATCCAGCTAGCGTCTACGCACAGGCTCATGCCTATTTGTTTAATGTACGTAAAGACAGCGTACTCCTAAATTTTCCTGAATTCCGATTTATTAATAAAAGCTTAGTTATTCTTTATAATTGTCCTCATTACAATTGGTTTACTTACCTTAAGTTAGCTGAGTCTGAAGAAGCCCACTAATATTTATTGATTTATTGGTCTTTTCATAATTCTGAATTGGTTGAGTATTCCTATATCGATCAATTACGCAAGCTTATAACTATAAATCGATAAATGTTTATCGACAAATAGCATTATTTCATCGGTAATTTCGACACCTAACCAATAATCGAGTCAAGCCTCGAGGCAATGAGCTAAGCTCTAAGTATTTTTAAATAAGATTTCAATATAACATTTTAATCGATAACTCGCACAAGTTTATCGATCGATTGCCTTGTACAAGCGTAAACAATAATCGCTTTGATCAACTCAAATGCTTGGCATTTAGTGCTAATCCAGCTAATGCAGCGAGCAATTAGTTCCAGCGGTGCTCAGCGTGCGAGGCGAGGGCTTGCCGCCAGCTAAATGACCTTCGCGCACAACCAGAAAATAACATATAAACTGCTGAAAAGTCCACTCAAGGTTAATGTCATTGTCAACTTTGGCACGCCTCATTTATATGCAACACTTGGTACTCCATGCCCCCTGTCTGACAGGGATGTCAGAAGTCGGGAGTCGCGCGAGTCTGGAATCAGGAGTCGAAAGTCTGGAGGCGGGAGTCAGGAGTCAGAAGTCAGTGGTCAGTCGCCGTCGGCACTTCGCTACATGGCTGTGGTGCGATGCTCAATCGCCACTCAAGCCAAGCTGGCTGAGCATCAGCAGTTTGAGATGCCGTCTCACAGTCGGCTTGTCTCGACAGTCAATCAGTTGGGGGCAGCCGCCGGCCGCCAGCCACTGGCCGCCGACTGCCGCGACTTGGAGGCCAAGTTTTTAACGTCATCGGCACTGGCAGCTTGTCATGTCAGCCGTACGAAAACTGTCAGAAATCGAGCTGAAGTTGGCGTTCAACTTGCTGCCTCGCTGCACATCACCAGGCCCACTTCACGACCAAGTTCAAGACCAACTCCAACTCCAACTCGAAGTCGGCGTCGCATTTTTAATCAGCCGCGGCGCGTCTTAGTGATAATTACCAGACATATTTGTTGCTCGCTCCTGTTCCTGTGCCTGCTGTTCCTGCAATTCCGGCTGTATAATTAATTACAAGTGCGAAGCTGCTTTGTCTGGCCAATTATTCATTGCATCTTCTCTAGCTCCTGATCGTGCTTCACTCAGCCTACACGCGCAACGAAAAGCAATTTTTGTTGCACTTTTGGCATTCCGCGTGGAACTATATAATATAATATAAATGCGTGTGAACCATTCCAGAAATAAGTTGTTTAATCTCCAATTATTATCTTTTATATTGGATGATAACAATCTGAGTTTCAGCTTGTGAGTGACTACAGCTCGGCCATTCTTTAGCTGATTTCCTAGTGGTAACCATTCATCTGTGATAATAACAGTAAATTGTCAATTAATGGAACTCCAACTGAAGAAAGGAACAGAAGTAAGTTTGTAATCGAACAGAAACACTAATGATATAGAACTTTTTTTTTATCAGAGCTGGGTTGGCGACACGAATAATTATACAATATTAAAAGCAAAAAATTTTTCAAAAATTTAAATAAAATATTATATAGTAATGCCCGACTTGTCGTCTGGTCTATATTTGTAGGACTGTAACAGCTCTGGCTCTACAAATAAAAAATAATGATATCGATTTGAATCTGTGTTTTAAGTCTCTAGCTAAACAACCTGTTCTTAAAAACAATTTCAAGTCTCCAAATTCAGTTGGAGATGATCACGTTTATTCCACAAAACAAATATACTCTGTTCATGCATCATGAACGAGCATAATTAATATGGCAAATGCATGAAATTGTGATGTGCTCAGCCGCAGAGCACAAAATGGCATTAAAACAATTGGAATGGAATTTGTAGGTGAATTTAAATGAAATGTTGTCTGTATTGTTTTATTGTCTGCCTGTTCACATGGCGAGCAGCAAGTCCTGGCAAGGCGATGTTAAAAAACCTGACACTTGGCTAAAGCCGAAAAGGCCAGCGCAAAAGCAGTTTGCCATTTTGCCAACATATGGCAAATTTGCCTGCTGACTGCATGTCAACAGCTACAACAGCAACAGGAACAACAACAACAGCAGCAGCAGCAAAACCCATTTAAGTTCAAAGCGCGACAACCGCCAGAGCCAGGAGTTGCAGTTGCAGTTGGAGCTGGAGCTGGAGCTGGAGCTGTAGCTGGAGCTTGGCATGCCAGCTGAGCCGATCATTATCTGAGTCGCATATCTATTTGCGATTACGAGAAGCAGGCAGTCAGGCAGTCAAGCAGTCAGGGCAGTCAGACAGTGAGGCAGGCAGGTCGGGGGTCTGTCAGTCGTGGGAGTCTGTCGGCATGGTGGCAATTGCAACGTGGGCGCTGCAAACAGACAAATGTCAAAATGACGCGCTTTGTTGTTTATCATATTTACCGCAAGGCAGCAAGGCAACGAGGCAACGGGGCAACAGCAACAAGCCAACATCAACATCAACACGGCCCAAATGCAATTAGTATTCAAATGCAGACACGCCAAAGACGAGCACAAAGCCAAAGCGAGTCATCATCAACAAAAGTCTTTTGCTTTTTTCATTTTTTGCCGCCCGGGGAGCCAGCTAGGCAGCGCAGGGCACGCTAAAAAATGCGTCTAGTCTCCTTTCTCTATACATTATTTGTTTTTTTTTTTTTGTTCAGAATTCGTCGTAATTTAGCGCACGCATTTTGCATTTTAAATGCTGGCCACATTCTGTTTAATTCCAGCAAATTCGTTTGACTAATTGCGAGCAGGTGACCGAGCAGGGGATTCTGTGTAACTGCACACCTTTAGCGGCCGCAATTAAATGAATGAAGCTAGCAGCCGATTTAATGCATGATTTTGTCTCCTCATCATCTACGTGACTTCGACTTATCAGCTGCGCGCTGAGCCACGCTAGAGGGTATGTGCCCGCGGCATTTTCGCTCAGATGATTCAATATGGGCACTCACCGCATATTAAGCAGCCCAACGCATCGACTCCGATATGGTCTTTGTCCAGTTTCGCTTTTCCATTGCCATAAAGAAAGTCAGCGCAGTGCGCGTTCGGGGCGCCATTAAACGCACCTCACATCGCTCTCCTTCTCTGTGCGTCTGTCTCTTTCGCTCTTTGCACGGCTGTAAATTTAACAACCGAGTTATGACAACTGCCAGCAATTAAAATTGACAATTGATACGACAGACAACAGCAAAAGACACAAAAACACAATCGTGTCTGGTGCGGGAGTAATAAACGATGCTTTTTATGACTGATAGGCGATCATAGGAGCGCGGGTACACACGGCTGCTCTTATTTTGATAATATATTATCACAATATGTATTAATTACTAGTATTATTACTACTATAAGAAAGTGTCAGCTGAATAATCAGTCAGTTTCTCTCATTCTTGAACTTTATATATAAATATAAATTTATATAAGTTTATTGTTAAGAAAAAGTAAAAAAAATAATCTAAGTTTCCTGAATGAAATTAATATATATATTTATATATATTTTTTGTAGATATGTATATTCGTTCTTTTATAAATATATTTCATATTTATTATATATATATATATATATATATATATATATATATTATTATATTATATTATATATTAAGAAAATATGTCATTAGAAAATATCTATGTTTTTGACGGTTTTACTGATATTAAAAATCATCTTTTCAAAGAAATAGTAGCGCTGGGTAGAAGATACATTTTTAGTAGACATTTCAGACACCATTTAACTTTCTTTTATTCGCTAGAGTTTCTGGTATTCAGCATATAATGAACTTGCTGCAAAGGTTACACATATAGAAATTTATAATAGGAAATGTGTCCATCTCTTTCTCGGTAACTGCAGCTATCTCTTTCAGGGCCAAATTCATCAGCATTGTTTTTGTTTTGTGTGCCAGAATTTCTTTTTATTGTGAGATAGTTGGAAATGCGCTGGAACTAATTGCTGCCAAGAGCTGGAATAACCATATGAGGCGGGGAGAGGCCATCTGCGAAATGGCTTGTCCATTTGCGTTGGGGCAAATATGACAATTGGCGGCATTATTAAAAATGCTACGTGCGCTAAATCTGCCGACATCAGCCAGAACGACAATAGCAACTGCGAAAGGGAGCCAAACACCCAAAACAGGTGAAGCTGGGCAGCAAAGGTGGCTTTGAATGGGGCAAGGGTAGATAGGTTGCCATGACACTTGCTGATAGCGCACTCAATTTGCATTTCTGGGCAAGAGAGCGAGAGAGGACGGCAGAGAAAGAAGGAGAGAGAGATGGGCAAAAATGTAAAAATCAACGGGTGCCAACAATTACTTTTTATAACTTTCTAGCTGGCACTTCAATCTCAGCCAGAAATTAGTTTGCCTCGCGCTGATTTCAGCTGAACCCCATTTAGTGAGCGGCGCTGTGAAATAAAGTGACAGGGTCTGACAGGGCTGGGTAGTTTTTCAGGTGGCTGGCAAACATTAACATAATATTATGAAGGGATTTTAATTAAAAAATCTCAAAGCATTTGTTCGGGGCATATACTCAACGAAGTCCTTTCATATCGGACGTGTGTGCACTGACAACAATAAATAGTTCGTTGTAAATAGTTGACCAATAATATATAGTGTATTTCCAATATATCATTTTAGTTATATTTAAAGCACACTCTCTATGCTGCCCGTATTTTGAAAGCTTAAAACATATAGAAGAAAACACAAATGTTAAATATTCAATATTTATAATAAATAATTAAATAATTTTAATTTTAATTTTAATATCTGTTTATAAAACAGCTAAAACATATTAATTTATTAATAATTATAAAAAAATAAAACTTTTTAAATAATTTCATTTTTATTTTTAAATTAAATAATTTATATATATTTTATTATATTAATATTAAATATTAAAATAATTATGTGAAATTTATTTTTTCCATAAAAAATAAAGAATCATTTTTTATATG